ATAAATAGTACAAATTTAATTTAATTTAATTATAGTAATTATTTTGTTTGTTAATATTGATTTTATCATTATTATTATTATTATTATTATTATTATTATATATTATCGTTATCATTATCATTATCATTATCATTACGTTATCTTATCATTATTATTATCATTATCATTATCATTATCATTATCATTATCATTATCATTATATTATCATTAATTATTATTATTAGGTTATTATTGTTATATTATTACTATTACTATTATTAAAATGACGATATGAATCTTGTTACGGTTTTCCTCCTGTCTTTTCAGATGTTTGACGCTGACAACAGAGCCGGTCAATGCAGACGGATTCGCTCTTGCAAGGAACGTATTGCCAATGCAATTCAACACTAGCGGACGATCGGTCTAGCCGTACCCCCGCTGGAGTTTGCGCGCTGAGAGAGAGCTTGCGACAGTGAAGCGAAATGACAGCGATATCTTGCGGGTTTGCAGCCTGCCGAGACAGAAGTCGAAGTTAGCCGGTAATTAACAACACAGAGTCGCCTAACTTCACCGAAACCCCGGAAACTAACCCAGTGGTACCGCACTCCCTGCAGTCCTAGCTTATATGCCCACTGTTCAAAGAATATACTTATACCCTCCCGTCTCTATCCCATAGTAAAAACGACAGCTCAGTAAGACGTCCCTCTAACAATGCGTGCATGATAATATTTCATCAGTATACCTCTTTTGAGAAATAGGAAGAAGACCTCGCATGTAAGGTGCCCGCTGCATATAGCAGTCAGTACACAATTTGGTTACGGTAGTGTGTTAGCGCATGCGCAATATCCCACCACGGGAGTTATATTTTCGAATGGATATGCATTTAAAATGGTTAGGGGATATTTCAGCATAGATTTATGAAATAAATTGTTATCAGTAGGCCTGTGTTTATGATTGGGAGATTGCCCTAACCTGTGGGAAGCAAAACTACTAATTCATCCCCTCCTGTCCTTCCTTTGCCTCCCTCTCTGTCCTTCGCTCAGCCTCGTTCTTTTATACTGCAATCAGCTATCTTCACTGCCGCCAAATTATGGATTTAGAATAGGGAGGAGGTATTCAAGCATAGATTTATATATGAGTGTGCGCACAGCAGTGCTACACTTATCAAGGCAAGAGTCATCGGAGATAGCAAACCTCCACCACAGCGTAACAATCCCCCCATCTTGTTGGTACACCCAATATAGAGTTTGATGAAATTTGCAAAATTTTGAAAAAAGTTCCAGGATTTTTTTTTGATTAATTTTGAATGTGTCCAACGTTTTCCCCACAACATTTTTAAAACTTTTTAAAATTTAAAACAAATTCTGGATCCAGATCTGAATTCGATTCACCAGCAAAATCTAATCGATTGGTTGTTGCCCCAAGACCAACCAGTCCAAAAAATTCATCAAAATCCTTCCGTAACCTTTTGAGATATCCTGTTGACAGACAAACCAACAATTAGATAGATAGATAGATAGATAGATAGATAGATAGATAGATAGATAGATAGATAGATAGATAGATGGATAGACAGACAGACAGACAAATAGATAGATAGATAGATAGGTAGGTAGGTAGGTAGGTAGGTAGATGAATGGATGGATAAATGGATGTATGGATGGAGGGATGGAAGTATAAATGGATGGAGGTATGGATGTATGGTTGAATAGATAGATAGATAAATATATAGTACAGACATGAAAGCCATCGTCATTAACCGTGCTTCCGTGTATACACGGGCGCATCGTGACGTCTAGATCAATCGGCATGTTTGCAATGTCCACTCATTTATTAATGCGTAGTTACTTACACATAGGACGTGTGTGTTGCGGCCATGTCCGCTCGCTGCCAACATCAAAGTCTCATGGCCGGCAAACACGGCCGTAACATAATTCCATTTAGCCGAATAAATGGATTACATCTAATCAAATATGAAAGCGCTCCCCCACGCTCAGAAAATGGACTTTTACAGGTGTACCCTGTGTAAAGCAACGCGGTTATAATAACGAATGCACTTATGTATCGCAGAACCAGCGAACGTGCGTGCATGAATCTAACCCGCTGGTAGAGGCTTTTCCCCCGTTTTGTACGGTCGCGTTGTTCTACTATAGGAATAGACTACCGGCTGACCTGAAGGAGGTCGTGTACGTAGTCGGCGTGCGGGATGGCTCCGTGGCAGACTGGGAGTTCTTACTGAGCCGTGCGAAGGCAGATCACATAGCGACCGAACGCAACCTGATGTACAAGGGTCTCGCCTACTCCTCGGAGCCCTGGATCATTTGGAGGTAGATATATCCGTACGCTTTTATATGTTGGTATAAATACACGCGAGCACACGCGCGCGCACACACACACGCGCGCGCAAACACACACGCACGCGCACACACACAGGCGCACACGCCCGCACTTACGCACGTGAGCACGCACGCACGCACGCACGCACACACACACACACACACTACTCCTAATTCTGATCACAACGCGCTCGCGTGTGTATTAACACATACATCTCTCCTCTCTTTCTCTCCCTCTCTCCTCTCTTTCTCTCCCTCTCTCTCTCTCTTTCTCTCTCTCTCTTTCTCTCTGTCTGTGTCTCTCCCTTTCTCTCACTCTCCCTCCCTCACTATATATATATATATATGCAATATACGGTGTGAATGAATGTAGCTCGACCGAATCGGTTACTCTGGCATCTCGCCGAAGTCGTGTGTCTAGATCTCTCACTGCCGCTGTCTATTCTCGCTCTGCTATCAGGAGTACATGAAGCGACAGGTGTCGGGCGTCGTGGAGAAGGTCGGCTGGTCGCAGCTGGGAGACCTGCAGACGAAGTACCTGCGAGTAGCGACGCTGCTGATGGCATGCCGCGCCCAGCACGCCACCTCGGTCGCCTTCGCCAGAGACTACTTCCTATCGTACAAGAAAGACCCGCTCACGTACGCCGAGTGTAGAGAGAGAGAGAGAGAGAGAGAGAGAGAGGAGGAGAGAGAGAGAGAGAGAGAGAGAGAGAGAGAGAGAGAGAGAGAGAGAGAG